CTGATACAACTTTCTTATTGAATAGAGTGTTGATTCTGGTAAGTCTGGCTCCTGTGGCTGTCCCGGGGGAGCCCTTGTTTCCGCTCCCCTGTGCAGGGATTGCAGGCTGCCGCTATGCCTGCCTGGCTTTTATGTGGCTTCTGAGCCTCACACTATTATTGATTGGCCCGTTGCTTAGAGTCCTACTACCCAGCGGGAATGGCTCTCGTCTCTCGCCTGTGTTTAGCTTAACGTTCTACTGCTTTTCTTTATGATACCCACCTCTGTTTGCACATTTTATTTTTTAGGAGTGATAAATTCCACAATTCTTTTTAAAGAAAAAAAATTGTGCTTGTGCATGTGGGTTTTTTTGGGAGATGAGTGTGTGTGTGTGTGTGTGTGTGTCTGTGTGAGTATTATCACATGCATGCCGTGGCACACATGTGGAGAGCAGAGGACAACTTTTGAGAGTTGTTTCCCTCCGTTCACTTGGGGTTTTGGGAATCAGACATCAGACTCAGGTCATCAGACTTGTAAGGCATGCATGTTTCCGTGCTGAGCCATCTCACTGGCTCCTGGCACTTTTAAACTAATTCTCTTCTTGTCTGTCTGCCTCCTGACTGGATTACAAGCTTTACAGAGGCTGGCTCCTGTCTTTTTATTTATTCTTTCCTTAGCACCCAGCACAGCTGAGTGCATAGGATGGACTCAGACATGGAATGAATGAATGAATGAATGAATGGCTGAAAAATGCACGTGTACGTATCGTTACTTCCTACATACCAGAGACTGTTTGGATTCTTGGAGAGACAGTCGGGAAGGAGATAAGCTGGGAGCTTCCTTTCAGGAGGTGAAGTCCTATATTTGTAACTAAGTTAGTACCAGATGATGACGATGACTATCAAGTCCGTGGGAAGTTGTGTTGATGATTTTCTGAGAAGTGACAATATGAATGGTCAAGGTGCCACAAGGGCATGGTGTGATTGTGACAATCACATGTGTGTGTTTACGTAAGGAACATGGTTTCCCTGCAGTGGTTATCCAAACAATTTCTGAGAGTCGGAAATGCAAGTTCTACATAGGATAATTAAAGTTCTGGTGACCTCTCATTAAACGTTATATTCTGCTTGAGATGCCTTATACGGGAGGAGATTTGGAAAGTAATTTTCACTGGAAATATGACAATTTTTATTTCAGGGCTGCTTAAAATGGTAGTGGTAATTAATCATTTATGCGCTTGTTCGCTCTCTGGCTCTGCCTTACTGATCACTGCGTACCTTGGCTTGCATTAGATAGTGACCTGTGAAAGTAAGAGATGCTCTTGTTTTTATTACAGTTTAGTTTTCTTTCTTTCTTTCTTTCTTTGTTTTTTTTTTTTTTTTTTTTTTTTGGTTTTTCGAGACAGGGTTTCTCTGTGTAGCCCTGGCTGTCCTGGAACTCACTCTGTAGACCAGGCTGGCCTCGAACTCCAGAAATCCACCTGCCTCTGCCTCCCAAGTGCTGGGATTAAAGGCGTGCGCCACCACCACCCGGCACATTTTAGTTTTCTATGTGAGAATATTTCAAATATTTTTAAACACATATGTGCATGCAGTACTGTTGTCTCTTATAGTTCTGACTGTCTTATTAACATGACAGTTATTTAACTGATCCTTTAGCGCCTGTGAAACTGGAAAAACATCTGCACAGTGCTAGGTCTGAAGAGGGAAGGCTGTATTACGATGGTGAATGGTACATACGTGGACAAACGATATGTATTGATAAGAAAGACGAGTGTCCCACAAGGTAAGAGGCTTCCTGTCACTGTGTTGTCCCACCTGTTGTCAGTCAGTATCTGCAGCCTCTGCAGGGTGTTTGCATCATTAGTTCTCTGGATCCTTTCACTTGCATAAGATCCAGTCATGTGTGCACAATCATATTTATACAGTAGACATCACATTCGAGTTGGTCACAACATTAACATAGTGGATATGCTTGGGATTATTTATCCATAGATGATCCTGTTTATTAATTCATACAGTGCAATTAATCGTTATGATTCTAATATAATGATTTTTCAAGCCAGACTTTTAAGAATTTTTGGTGGACCTATTAATTCTTAATTCTTCTGGTCCCATTTCAGTTTTCTAGATGAAGAAATGTATCAGCTGGCAGTGCAGCTCAGTTAGAGTGCTTGCTTAGCATACACATAACCCTGGTTTCAGTCCTCAACACTACATGAACTTGGCAGGGTAGAGAGCCTATAATCCCAGATCTAGGGAGGTGAAAACAGTAAGATCAGGAGTTCAAGGCCAGTCTTAGCTGTAGGGGTCTTTGTAAATGCCACAGGCCACAGCCAGCAGAATAATGAAGCCAGAAGAAAATCCGGTTCATCGAGACTCAGTAATGTTGTTTTAGACTTTTAGAGTCTGATTCTAGGCTGTTTATTTTAAACATTTAAGTACAGTACAATTTGGAAAAAAATTTTTTCTAGTGTAACACAAATCCTGTGTGCACAAGGAGGCATAATTACATCTAAACTCTTCTCAAAGTATGTGTCACTTCTTCCGTGAAAATGGGCTTTCGAGATGGGCTATATGTGCTGTCTTAAGAGCCCAGGGGAAGATCTGGTGTTGTCCCAGTCATACAGACAACACAGAGGTCACCTAAACTTTTAACCATCTCCAGTCCTGTGTGTGGGAGCCTGGGAGAACTCCTAGCCCTTCAGATAGCACAAGGATCACCTAGGCTATTAGCCACCTCTAATTCCAGACTTCTGGGCAGAGAACCCTGTGTGTTTAATATTTCTGGTTTCCCTGTAGGTTATCTGTGAGCACAAGGACCTCTGTGCTCTCGACACTTAGCTACAAATAGAGTTGGAGGGCAACCTGGGATACAGGAGACTGTATTTCACACAAAAAATATTAATTAAGGCAGGAAAGAAAAGGAAACTTAGTAAAAACTTGATGCGTATTTAGTGAGGCTGGAGAGGTGTGCAGCTGCTAAGAGCAGCTCTCCGAGAAGACTGGGTTGGTTCCTAGCATCGCAGCTGTCAGTGAACTGCAGCTCCATGAGGTATGTCTCCTGGTCTCTGTGGACACTGTGCGGTTTGTACACTGTGCAGCTAAAGCAGTCATACACATAAACTGAAAGCCAAAAGTAAATCTTACAAAAGGAGTGCTTTGTAATTAAGATATAACTTTAACAGGGCTACACAGAGAAACCTTGTCTCGAAAAACAAAACAAATATATATATAACTTTAAAACTAGAAATTGTCTTTTAAGTGATAATCTAGACTTACAGTTTATATAATGTTCATGTAGCCTATAAGTTATCTTGCTGTGCTCTTTTGGAAATATTAATGTATTATTGCCTTCATCCTTCATTGTTAAATTCTCAGAGGACCAGCTTTCTACAGTAAGAAACACCTTCTTTTCTGTATAACAGCATTTGTGTTGATAGTGCAATGTCTGGTAAGTGAACCTGCTGAGTGTATTATAGCTGGTGTGAAACCTTGTTTTTAAGCTAGTAATCTGAAGATTAGTATAAACCAGGTGGAGCCGAAAGAAATGCAAGCTCAGGGCCAACCTGGGCTATAAAGGCACATCTTTAAAAATATAAGGAAAAAGAAAAGAGAAATAAACCCCCAGTGATAATAAGATACATCAAAATGAAATGAGCCACATTGTAATTCATTCTTTTTTTCTTTTTCTTTTTTAGTGCTGTAATTACAACAATTAACCATGATGAAGTTTGGTTTAAGAGGCCTGATGGAAGCAAATCTAAGCTTTACATTTCACAGCTACAGAAAGGAAAATATTCAATTAAACATTCGTAATCATGGTTTAAGTGTTACCCACATCTACCTTATTAGTGTTACCAAGTGTAATGTGCCATGGCAGCCAAGGAGTGTACTCAGCAGCCTAATATTTTCACCCAGTCGTGAGAGACTGTGTCTTCTAGGTAGCACTCTAAGTAGACCCCGTATTAGTAAGTGATTAAGAGAAATAGTGATACAATGTAATCATGACCGTCACCTTTATTTGCCTCGTAGGCCCGGTGCCAGCAGGTCTGTTTGGTATGTATTTCCTTCTGTTGTTTCAGTTTGTGTCTTACTCATGTGAGTGTGTCTCACCTTGAATGAACTACAGTGCAGTCGTCTGCAGTTTTAACTCCCCACCATTGCCACTCGTGTCTGTACATAAGACTGATGAGATGTTTCCTATAAATGATTTGTGTTAGTGCATTACTTTCAATCAGAACTGAAGTTTATGCATAAGTGTGTGAGTGTGTATATACAGCGTCCCCAGCATACTTAGAACGGGTGGCCTGCCTGTACAATCTCGTTTTACCCCAAATTAAACTGTTGGGTCTGAGAAGAAAAGGAAGCACTTTTGTAGACTGGTTTTCCTTCTCTTCTTCCTTGATGGTGGTGACCTCTTTTGCAGATTGTATTTGGTGTTTATTAGCAGCATTATGTCAAGTGTGAACATGTTGCTGCCTGTGTTTACTGTGAGCTGTTAGAGGGCAGGTATGCTGCCTGGTGTTTCTGATGCACAGTGTCAGAGCGACAAGTGGCTGGCAGTATTGTCGTGCTTTCTGCACATCCGAACTTTTGAAGATTTTAGTAAGCATTTTCCAGAGGCAAAACTAGATCCTTATTCTAATTTTATTGCTAGAGTGAAATACATGTAGACACTTCCCTTACCTCTACCATCCCCCAAATTAGCTTTTGTTAAAAAAAAAAAAGATTCCAATGTTTTTAACACTATAAGGCCATTTGGTGCAATTTAGAAAATGTTGGCCTCCCTTCCATTAGCCACATTCAAAATTAACTTGGAAAGCCTCTGGAAGTGTGCAGAAAACTGGAGCCCTCAGCCGGGCAGCGCAGTTGGCTACAGTGTGTACCTAGGGTACAACCCAGTGAAGTACTCTGCTGGCTCATGCACTTTAATTTCTGTTACAATGTATTGAAGGGGATGAGGAAGACTCACTTAACACTCCTCAAAGGAGTCTCTGCAAGATTCCGTTAGTTCCTTACGATTTGACTCTGCAGATACCCCATGCAGGTCACTACTCCACAGTTGCCAGATTGCAACCGTTTTGACTTTTGAAATTCAGTATCAGCAATGTTGAGCTGCTCTGTTGTTTCTGATCACCCTTAGTGGCTGTGCGGACTGTCCCAATCCAGTAGCATTTGGCAGTGCTTATGTATATGTATATATGATGTTTGATAAGCATTTTTAATGAGATTTGTATTTTTAAATTTAGTATGTAATAAAAAGAAGTGTTTGAACGTCCTTTGTAGTGTTGTGCGTTACTTATTCATACTCAAGTTCAGTTGTTTATACCCAGTCCACTGTGCTGATGTCAGCAGGCCAGGCCCGCTGTGCTGTGGAAGGGCTTCTGCTTGGCTTCCCACGCTTGCACCTCTGTGAGGCGGATGTAAGTGTTCAAGAAGCTAACTTATATCTAACTGAAAATATACATGCTGCTGTGTTAGACTTTAATAAGTGTACTCCGGTTTGAAATTTTAACCAGAAAAAATTTAAAGATTTATTTCTCACATGGTAAGAAATTTACCATGAAAACTTTAATTTCTGTATTCTGACTTACTATTCCACCCTCTTATTAAGATCAAGGTAAGCATACACTTGCCAGTGGTATGAATACTGTTTTATATCACTTGCCAATGATATGAAGTATTTGACTACAGATAGTTTATTAGTCTTCTTTTAGTTATTTAGTTATATTCCAGTTGTTGTCCCCCACCCCATCAGTCCTCTCTCCCACAGTTCCTCATCCCATTCCTCTTCCTCATCTCCAAGACTCCAAGAAGGTATTTCTCCCCCACCACCAGGTCTCCCCCTTCCCTGGAACCTCAAGTCTCTCATGGGTTAGGCACGTCTCCCACTGAAACCAGACCAGGCAGACCTCTGCTGTATATGTGCCCACGTATGCTCCTGATTGGAGGGAGCTCCCTGGGGTCTGGGTTAGTTGAGACTGCTGGTTTTCCTATGGGATCGCTCTTTCCTTCAGCTTCTTCAATCCTTCGCCTAATTCAACCATAGGGGTCCACAACTTCAGTTTAAATGCTTGGCTGTAAGTATCTGCATCTGTCTCAGTCAGCTGCTGGTAGGGCCTCTCAGAAGACAGCCATAGCAGGCTTCTGTCTGTAAGCATATCATAGCATCAGTAATAGTGTCAGGCCTTGGTGCCCCCCGGCCCCAGTCCCATGAGATGGATCACAAGTTGGGCCCATCATTGGACTGCTTTTCCTTCAGTCTCTTCTCCATTTTTGTCTTTGCTGTTCTTTTAGACTGGAACAATTCTGGGTCAGAAATTTTGACTGGGTTAGTAACCCAGTCCCTCCACTTGAGGCCCTGTCTATGTATTGGAGGTGAACTCTATGAGTTCCCTCTCCCCAATGTTGGGCATTTTAGCTAAGACTTCAGAAGATGGAAAGATCTCCTGTGCTCATGGGTAGGTAAGATTAACAGGGAAAATGTCCATCTTACCAAAAAGCAATCTACAGATTCAATGCAATCCCCATCAAAATTCTAATATAGTTTTTCAGACATGGAAAGGTCAATTCTCAACTTCATATGAAAAAAACAAAAAACCCAAGTAGCCAAACAATTTTCAACAATAAAAGAACTTCCAGGGGAATCATCATCCCTGACCTCAAGCTGTACTACAAAGCAATAGTGATAAAAACTGTATGTTATTGATACTTAGACAGGTTGATCAATGGAATAGAATCGAGGACCCAGAAGTAAACCCCTACACCTATGGACACTTGATCTTTGACAAAAAAGCCAAAAACATACAGTGGAAAAAGGAAAGCATCTTCAATAAATGGTGCTGGTCTAACTGGTCTGTAGAAGAGTGAGAATAGGTCCATATTTATCACCTTGCATGAAGTTCAAGTCCAAGTAGATCGAAGACCTCAGTGTAAAACCAGACACGCTGAATCTAATAGAAGAGAAAGTGGGAAAGAGCCTCTAACTCCAATGAGAGAGAGAGAGAGAGAGAGGGAAATTTCCTGAACAGGACACCAATGGCTCAGGCCCTAAGATCAACAATTGACAAATGGGACCTCATGAAACTGAAAAGCTTCTGTAAGGAAAAAGACACCATCAGTAGGACAAATCAGCAACCTACAGACTGGGAAGCGTATCTTCACTAACCCTTCATCTGACAGAGGGCTGATATTCATTGGTCTTTAGTTGTGACATTTATTCTGGAGACTCGTTGGAAAGCTGTGGTATGCTGTATCACTGCCGTGTTTCTGATTGCTTTCTCCTTTCAGTTGCTGGGGCTTTTCCACCACAGCTCCTCGGTCACATTCAGCTCACCTTGCCTGTTTCACAGTTCAGAAGACAGTCCTGCCAGGCGGTGGTGACGCACACCTAATCCCAGCACTTGGGAGGCAGAGGCAGGTGGATTTCTGAGTTCGAGAGTTTGAGGCTAGCCTGGTCTACAGAGTGAGTTCCAGGACAGCCAGGGCTACACAGAGAAACCCTGTTTCCAAAAATCAAAAAATAGATAAATAAATAAATAAATAAATAAAATAAAACAATAAAAAAATAAAATAAAAAAAAGAAGAAGACAGTCCCAACCATCATCTAGTTGAAAGTACTTGCAAACACTAATGGAATGCACGTCCTTTAGCCCCCTTGTCCTGGCTCACATCCAACGATTTAGCACTGAGGGATTTCATTCTGTCTTCAATAAAAATTCTTCTTGTTGGGGGTGGAGGCACATGCCTTAGCATGTGGAAGGCAGAGGCAGAAGACCTGAACTTTAGGGTTAGAATTGGCTATAGAGTTTGAGGCTGGCCTGGACTATATGTTGGTTGTTTCAAACCAACAAACTGAATAATAAATGAATGTTATATTTTGGTGTACACATTGCTGCCTAGGATTTTGCTTTCAGAGCTGTCCATGTGCATTACCCTTCTTTGGCAGTTTTTTTTTTCCCCCGAGACAGGGTTTCTCTGTGTAGCCCTGGCTGTCCTGGAACTCACTCTGTAGACCAGGCTGGCCTCAAATTCAGAAATCCGCCTGCCTCTGCCTCCCAAGTGCTGGGATTAAAGGCATGCACCACCACCGCCCGGCTGGAAATTATTTTAAAAGACTAGGGGAACTGGTTGATGTTTCTAAGAGTCTGCTTTTTTACTCAGTAAATCTGCTGTAGAAGCAAATGAAATTGCATTCTCTGAAGAAAAAGGGAGTGAGGGGTGGACATATGTACATTAGCTAAGATCTCTAGATAGAGTCTCTCACCAAATCAGAATGTAAGGAACTGCATTTTGAAAGATGAAAAGAGGTCAAATACTAAAAAGCACTAAAAGGAAAGTTCAGACTAGCAGCGGAGAGGAGGCATGTCCCTTATCTGCAGGGATGAGCTGCAGGGAGCCATGGGTGTGCACTGTGTGGTTTGTACGATACTCCCCCATTGCTCACTGGAGGCTAGCCTCGTTCCTTCCCAAAGCCTCCTACATTTTTGTTTTAAGATTATTTATTTATTTATCTATTTATTTATTTATTTATTTTTGAGACAGGGTTTCTCTGTATAGCCCGGGCTGTCCTGGAACTCACTCTGTAGACCAGGCTGGCCTCGAACTCAGAAATGCACCTGCCTCTGCCTCCCAAGCGCCGGGATTAAAGGCGTGCGCCACCACTGCCCAGCAAGATTTATTATTTTAAATGCTCATTAATGTGTATGTGCTTCTGCAAGTGAAGTGTGTGTGAGTGTGCATGTGTGTGTACGTGCACTGTGCACACACACGTACTGGGGTGCTAGCCATGAGAGCACTGGATTCCTTAGATCTGGAATTACAGGAATTTGTAAACCATCAGATATGAGTGCTAGGAACCCAAACTTGGGTCTTCTGGAAGAGCAGCAAATGCTCTTTAACACCAAGTCATCTCTTCCAGCCTACTTCTATGTTCTTTCTAGAGCATGTATCCTGCCACTCTGACTAACTCATTGGAACAGAGTGGCCCCTGACTGATGGGTAGCCAGTGATTTTTTTAAAAAAGTTATAATAATTAGGTTTTTTTTTTTCTGTGAAGAGATACCATGACCAAGGCAACTCTTATAAAGGACATTTAATTGGGCTTGGCTTATAGTTTCAGAGGTTCAGTTCCTTGTCATCATGGCAAAAAGCATGGCAGTGTCCAGGCAGACATGGTGCCTGTTGTATAAAAAAAATGTTTTTAACTTTTGTGGTCTGTCATGTGCCACATTTGTGTTTAATATATAAGTTGAAAGTCATTAGGTTTTGCATGTTCAAAACAAAATGAGCTGGGCAGTGGTGGCGCATGCCTTTAATCCCAGCACTTGGGAGGCAGAGGCAGACGGATTTCTGAGTTTGAGCCCAGCCTGGTCTACAGAGTGAGTTCCAGGACAGTCAGAGCTGCTGTCTAGACCCCCCCTCCTCCCTCCAAAAAAACCCCAAAACCCAAAATAAATAAAAATGTAAGAATTCTGATTACGTATTTGTCCTATGTTGGTTTTTTTTTGGGGGGGGGGCGGGGCTTAATATTTCTCTCCAACTATGAAAGACAAAATAGCATCAACATTTGAAACAGTCTCAAATACCATATCTTTCAGGAAAAAAAATGTGTGAGTTATGCTATAGAAAGCCAAAATTTGTAACCAAAAGTTGAAGCTTATCTTCTCTTTTGAGACACATTTTGTTAAAGGGAGGCCGAGAGCAGTTAGGCAGCACACCTTTCGGGTTCTCTTTGCTTTTCAGTCCATTTGTTGCTAAGAGAGTGTGGGTGGGTGACCTTGAGGGGAGAGTGATGGAGTCTTCTGGTTTAAGAAGCAGGTCATTGGTGCCCTTTCACCTCTGGTATTCAGGATTATAGATTACATTCGACTGTGAAGAAGAAGATCACTAGGCAGGGACTCAACCTTACCTTCCTTACAGGGATATTGAGAAAAATATTCTATTTTGTTTGCTACAGAAAGGCTCTGTAACTGGCGTCTGTATGGTGGAGATAGCAAAGTGCTTGCATGTGGAGGTCAGTTTGGATTTCAGTAGGTTATTTAAGTGTGTCAGTGGGTCATTATACTTAAGTACCTTGAGCACTTTAATTTTTTTATCCACGACCCCTAGCAGTTTTGTTTTGTTTTGAGACAGGGTCTCACCATCTAGTCCTAACCTGGACTATAACATTTATATAGAGCAGTTTAACCTTGAACTCACAGAGATCTATCTATTTTTGCCTCCCAAGACTGTAGTAGTTTTTATTTGAATCATATACTCTGTGATGTTAAATCATATC